ATTTCTTATCGCCTACGGATAATTGGTTGTTGCGCCAGGAATTAAATCAGCGCAAACAAAAGAAAGGCGAGTCGCTTTCTGAGTACGCAGCTTTTATTCGGCAGCGCTGTTTAAGATTAGCTATACCCGATGCGGAAGCCATGCATTACTTTATTCAAGGTCTTGAGCCATCCCTCCGAGCATATGTAATCCTACAACAACCAACATCTCTCGACGCCGCTGAACAGGTCGCCAAAATTAAGAATTGCGTTAAAGAATCTGAAGTCACAGCACTGAGTATCAGCGATGTAATGGCCTTGCAACGCAATTTTATAACCGAATTGCAAAAAGACGGTTTCCTCCAAAATCCGAATGCTCAAACACCACAACAAGACAGACGCTCACAAAACGGACCTCCGCCAAGAAGAGGAAATTTCGGACCAGTCCCTGAAAGACCACAGTACGACTCCTCAAACCAACTTAGACGCATTATACGTGAAGAATTACGTGCCCAACGGGACTCCCAGCCTTTACGCTTTAATGCAAAAGGGAACTTTGGACGAGCTACAAGAACCACGCATGGAGATCCTATCTGTTCCTACTGTTCTAAAGTTGGCCACGCATACCGCTCCTGTAGAGCCCGTATGAGAGATGCCCAGCAGACAACAAGACCAGACCTTCAGCAAAATTATCGTGCCTTTAGCCAACAGAGAAACTACTATCCATCCAATCAAACTCAAAGCCCATCCTACACCCAGCATCAACAGTCCGGACCATCATACGCTGCCAATCCACCCTCTAGACCTTTCTATACGCAGTCTACACCACCTCACACAAGCTATCAGCGAAACCCACCCTCTCGTCAGCCCAATCCTTTAAACTAAGTACTGTCTCGCGAACACGGGAATTCGGCGAGGCATACAGCTCTCATAATCCTACATTTTGTTATGTCAATAAAGAGACACGGTCTCCTATCATTTGCCCACGCGCTACTTATAAACCTGTCACTCCTTTAATTGCACCTGTATTTTCATTTGTGAACCCTGTTATCCCGCACAGCGTTCACGATGAACATGTTAATCATTCTCACATTAATAAAGATGGTTCTCAACATTCTCAAATTAATAAAGGTTATACCCCTTCTCACATTAATAAAGGTTCAACTGACACATTTCAGTCATCTAGTCTTCACTATCCTTCTTGCCTTCAAGTATACTCCCACACAGTTACTATAGAAAACCGGGAYACAAATGAGCCCACTTGGGACGATAATGAGCCCGTACAGGATACAAATGAGCCCACAGGGGACGACAATAAGCCCGTACGGGACGCCAATGAGCCCACTTGGGACGAATATGAGCCCGGTCGGGACGAAAATGAGCCCATTTGGGACGTACATGAGCCCGAAAGGGACGAAAATGAGCCCATTTGGGACGACAATGAGCCCACGTTTTACGATGCTATTCATACGATTTACACGCATACACCTACAACACCCCATTTTATTAATGACAATACAGGTGACCCCGCGCTTCATGAAGGCCCAACGGGCACACCTCTCCAACTTACTGAAGGCAACGTTATCTCACAAATATCGCCTACTATTGAAGAAGACACAGGGATCCCAAACCTAGCATCAATTGATGACAGCTCGGTGGATGACACATCTGCCACAGCGGAACATATCCCTCAAGATGACATGCATACCTCATGTTCCGATCAAGTTGAACAAAACAGCGATAACCAAAGTCAAGTTACTAACTGCCATAAAGCGGATCAGACACCCCAAGATATGGAGAACGACCTAACAATGTATTCCGACCATAATATAACAATTCCGAAAAACTCKGCTCGTATGCAAATTGATACCATAAAGCCTTGCGCACCTTCAGAACTCCCCAATTCTCAAACAAGCTGCCACCTCAATGATAACCAAACTCCCAGCGTGGATGCTATCTCATTTTCAAAGGGTAAATCAAGCCTGATAGTTGAAGGTTCTATTATGTCGCACAACGTCCCATTTCTCATTGACACTGGTGCAAACTTATCTGTTATCAATACGGATCTTTATAAACAAATCCCTGGGTTAGTGGAACACCTCCCGACACCCGCACATATACATGCCATCCGCACAGCCAATAATGAACACATCCCTGTACTTGGACACGCCGACATACCTTTTGTTATTGACGAAAAGATTTATCCTTTTCGAGTAATTGTTGTCAAAGACCTTGCGTATTCTGTCATCCTTGGTAGAGATTTCCTTGAGTACTACCATGCTATTATCGACCTGCGCTCCTTTTCTATACAACTGTCAGACCATACTGATCCCACACTGTCTGATACTCCAGAGGAATGCGTCATTCAAGCAATCGACACATTTTCCTTACCAAAGCGCTCTGAGACAACTGTACAAGCCATACTAGAGTTTCCGTTCGATCCAGGCATAACTTGTATTCTTGAACCAAAGAAAGACCTGGCTGAGCGATATGATATATGTGGCGCCTCGATACTGGCTAGAGAATCATTTTTTTTAGTTTCACTCCTCACATATTTCTCACATGTATCCCACACACTTTCAACCTATCTATCCTTGCTGCTTGCTTATTATAATACGCTTTTATTCACTAATATTTTCGGCTTCGTAACACCATTTTTAAAGCTTGGTTCATTTTCGTTTTGTTTTGTGTGTTTTTCATTTATTTTTATCATATTAATGTGGGTGGCTGACCCTCTCATTAGGTATTCCTCTGGGTCTCTTAACCTTGACACCGGAAAACATTTTGATTTATAATGGTCCCTCAAACCATTTTATTTCTGACGTACCACAAATTTCTGATGACCGACTCTTCTGCTCCATTGAATATCTGGAACCGCTTGTGTATAAT